TGGACCTGACAGGGAAACCTTCTGAGGGATGCCTGTTTAAGCCTCAGTAAAGCTGGGCGCTGGTGGCGCATGCCTTTAATCCCAGCATTTGGGAGGCAGAGGCAGGCGGATTTCTGAGTTCGAGGCCAGCCTGGTCTACAGAGTGAGTTCCAGGACAGCCAGGACTACACAGAGAAACCCTGTCTCGAAAAACAAAACAAAAAAGCCTCTGTAAAATGTCACTTATTTTCTGGGAAACCAGGAATGGACTTGACTGACCAGAGTCCATCTTCCTGTTCAGTATTTAATTAAATCTTGCTTCAAATTTGGCTCAAAATTGTGGTAGTGATCTTATTCTGGCCTGGCAGGACTAACACCTCCCCTCGTACAGGGCTAAGACTTCTTTGAGGATCATTACAGTTTGGCATACAGTGCACAAATAATATTTCATTTTTATTTAAAACTGTAAAAAATATTTCCACATTTCTATTTTTATTTCTCACTATTTATAAAATTTATAAAATCATCTGCCTTGCCACAAACAAATTTTCTCTTGATTTTTCTAGGTAATACAATTTCTATTATTTGAAGCTACTCAGGTTTTTCCCAAGCCAGATGTTGTAAGGGGCCCCCGAGGGGAGTCCCCACTCTCACCTGGAGTTGTGCGCATCCAAGGAAACACGGAGACCAGCTTGATGCAAAATAGCAAAAGGTAGTTTACTGGCGAGGGGCCCTCAGGTCGAAATGCATCCCATGCAAGGGAAGGATTTCGACCTCTGACAGTTTGAGATTTTTATAGGGAGTGGCACAGGGGGAAGGGGAGAGCGGGAAACTTTGGCGTGGTTACATTTGATTGGGCATTTTAAACATCAGCAATAGGTGTAAGTTATCATTTTGGCGGGCATAGCAAGCTTTTCTTGGTGGTCATGATGACTCAGTATTTTTGGCCAATAAACCTCAGACCTCCCGATAGGTGAAGAAAAACACCAGATGGCCCATTTTTCAATTGGGCATGTTTAGACTTGTAAAGGCCTGTCCTTGGTTGTTCCTACATTCATGGTCACCCTGCCGTAGGAGGAACTTGTTATTTTTGTTTTGGCTATTTTCAGCAAATTGTTGGTGGTCTGGTGGGTTCTGCTGAGGCATTTTAATTTTTTGCCCCCACAATGTGATGGCTCAAATCTGCAATTCCAGCCCTCAGGAGGCTGAGGTAGGAGGATTGCAAAGCTTGGGGCCAGCCTGAGATACAGAATGAAACCCTATCTCAAGACACACACACACACACACACACACACACACACACACACACACGAGGGGGGATGTCATTTTCATTCCTTTTAGCCTGCACCTTGATACTCCAGAAGTGTCACTTAAATTGATCTGAAAACAAGAAAGGTGGAAATAAATCAGAACCGAGCTGCGTATGAAGAACTCAGGTGGTAGAACAGTTGCCCAGAGTACGTGAAGCACCAAGGTTAAATCCCAGCCCTGTACAAACTGCCTTTGGTACTTCAGATCTGTAATCCCAGTACTCAGCAGATACAGAAGGGTCAGAAGTTCAAGGTCAACCTTAGTGATACAGCAAGTTTGAGGTCAGCCTGAGATGTAAGGGTAGGGGGGAGGAGGGAAAGAGTAGAGAAAGAGAAGAAAGGGGAGAGGGCAGAGCCAAAGGATGGGAAGAAAGGGAGCTTCCATACCAGATGACTGGAAAGCTCATCTGGGGAGCCATGATTTTTACTGGAGGTCATTTTTTACTGCATAGGCTGTTTACACCTTCAAGGTCTTTCCTCCTCCACAACTAACTGCCTGCGGTTATTACTCAAATCTCTTAGGTGGCAGAAGACATTTTATCACTTTTCTTGTGAGGAAACTAGAGAACATGATAGTCATGAATCCAGCAACTCTAGTAACACACCTTTGAAAGTAAGGGCAACAGCAATTTAAATATTTATCTCTGGTTTAAACACGGAACTTAAAAACAAAACCCAGTACTATTTCCCTCCTTCCCTCGGTCCTCCCCATACCTGATTCCTCCTGTTCCCATCCCCAACCCACATCCAGACTCCATCTCCCCCCCACATAACCCACCTCCCACTTCCCCACCCTGTCCACCCGTGAAGTCTATTCTATTTTCCCTTCTCAGTGAGATTCACATGTCCCGACTTGGGCCCTACTCATTACTTAGTCTCTTTGGGACTGTGAATTGTAGCAGGCATCCTGTGCTTTATGGCTTATGTCCACTTATGTCCATACCATATTTGTCTTTCTGGGTCGGGTCACCTCACGCAGGGTGATCTTTTCTAGTTCCATCCATTTGCTTGCAGATTTCATGATGTTTTAATAGCTGAGTAATACTCCATTGTGTAAAGGTATCACATTTCTTTATCCAGTCTTCTGTTGAGAGACATCTAGGTTATTTCTGGCTTCTGTCTAGTACGAATAAAGCTGCTATGAATATAATCGAGCAAATTTCCATGTGGTATGGTGGTCATCTTTGGATACATGCCCAAGAGTAGTAGAGGGGGAGCCTACCCCTGACACTGCCTAAAGGGCCAGGAAGCAGAGCCTTGGCTGTCCAGGAACTCTCTTTAGACCAGTCTGACCTTGACCAGACTGGCCTGCCTCTGCCTCCCACGTGCTGGGATTAAAGGTGTGTGCCGCCACCACCCAGCTAATAATCATTCTTAGTGGTTCAAGAACTTTATCTTTTTCTGAGGCACTCACAGTCTAAGAAAAACGGATGAACATTTAAGTTAATGGTTCTAACAAAGCATAAAGGACCATTCAAGAATTCCAAGGATCTCTCTACTCATGTCCTGCTTGCTTGCTTGTGTGTGTGTGTGTCTGTATAAGTGTACGAACACATGCACGCACGCACACACATGCACGTGTGTCTGTTCTCCAAGCAGTTCTCTCTTTTTTATACTAAAAAATTCTCTAGATAGCTCATCTCCTGCAGAGCACAGGTCCAGTCATTTATTTTACGTATCAATATCCAGTCCTTTACTCCAGCTTTCCTTTTGATTGTCTTATGAATCAGCACCTTGTGGCCCCAGCCCTTCGATTCAAAAGAGACAGCAAGCAGACATTCTTTTCTTAACATTGAAAAAGAATTCAGAAATCTGTCTGCTTCTGTTAAGCACCGATGGGAGAGCTAGTTGAATGGGACCCTGACCTGAAAATTACCATTTCTTAGACATCTGGGCCTAACCTCAATCTATCCTAGGCTGACCTTGAACTTGGAAATCTGCCTGCCTTAGTAACTTTCTGATAAGCTGGCTCAGAGTGTAGCTGCCTTTATTCCTTTAGATTCATGAAGCCCCCCATAATTAATATTGTATCCTTATATTTTGCGTAGTTGAGAAATTATATATATTTTAAACTCATGTATTTAGAGCTCTTTCCCAAAACCTTAAGGGCTTTAAGTTAAAATAGGTCCCTAAAGGTTCCAGTGTGTACCATTTTGTGAAGATATAACCACACCCTCGACTCCTGGAGTGCTGTTTCTAATTCTCACAGAGTCATTAAAGTTAACAGGGAGGACATTCCTAGGAGGAATGTCAAATACGTACCCACTGCAGCCTTCTACACTTGTGGAGGCTCACACCAGGGGCACTGTTTCAGGGGCAGGAACCATGTCACTCTGTCCCCACCAGAGTCACACCAGGCTCTGCACTAGAGTGTAGAAATAGATTTCAGAAATTATATAAAAATTGTCTTCCAATGAGAAGGAATGGGGAAGATGACTATCAGCAGCAGTAAGTGTGCTGGACACCAGAAACAAGCCCTATTAGACAGCCTATCCAAAAAGACTCCCATTTGCCAAGAACTAAATAGTAGTGATATTTAGTTGTAAAGCAAGAGTTTTCCCTAATATTCTGAACTTTAATAAGTATACTAAGATTCACTAATGGTCAGGAATTTCCTTAAAACCCACTATTTTAACTTAAAGTGTAGACCAAACTAAAGTCCTACAGGCCCTTTAAGGAAAGTTGCAAAATTGGAGATCACAGAAGAAAAACTGCAGAGGTCAGACTCCAGGCTCTGGGACTGAGAAATGTGTGATTTCATCTGTATACATGAGACTCTGGTCCACGGCATGGTGCCCACATGGGTAATAGGCAGAATTCCTCTGGTTGCAGGTGATGGCAAACATCAAGCAGAGTCCAAGGGCAGAAAAAAAAACTGCTCTATTACATAATAGGTCAATATTTGGACCAATTAACCACTTGAAACCTTTCTCATCTGTGAAACGGGAAAATGCCGGTCGCTACTCGGTACTTTTATGCAGATCAATTCATACAAAATGGGTAGAGAAGTTAGTGTTTGATTTCAGAAAATGACAACATAGGCAGCGTTCATGTGTCTAGTCGGGACTCAGATGTTTGCTTGGTCCCTTGATTTAGAAAGACTTTAAGATCTCATTTGCCATTTTTTGATCTGTAAAGCTACACAGCTAAAAGCTTTCGGTATATAGAATACCAATCTTTTTAGGTGTCAGAATACCAATCTTTTGAATCTTAAGTAAGACTCTTAAACACAAGTTCCAAATGTGAACATTTCATATTGGCAGTTACTTCCAAATAAGCTGTTTTTAGAATGATTCTCCTGCCCGGTCTAGAAACTATGCAGAGAAATGCCTCCTTAGGACCCTAAACTCTAGCAACTGACTGAAATCTAAACGAAGGTTTCCTACTCTGACTTACTCCAGCGGGCTTCCTATATTACCCCTAACGACTTTTCTTTAGATGGAGTAAGGTCTCAAGAACGTAGCAGGAGTTTCTGAAAGGTTCCCAGTTACTACAATCTCTGGAGCCCTTTCAGGGAGCCACTAAGTAGGTAAGGTAGCGGGGCCAGAAATCTTCCGCTACTCTCCTCTGCTGCCCTCACCACGCCCTCTTGGTAACCTAGGTTACAGCCACGCCCTCCTCTGTAGCTGACCAATCACAAAGCTTTGCATTGCCGGACAGGGTTAACTTGGCGTGGAAACTCAGCGCAAGTCATTGGCTGTTAGGATCCGGACGGAAACGGAAGTGGTCTCGTGTTTGGAAGATGAGTTCCTCTTCTGTTGAGGATCCGAAGCCGTGAGTGAGGAAGTTCTGGGCCGGGTCTTCCGGGGGCGGAGACTAGCCTTTCAGAGCAGGAAGGATGGAGAGTGCTGGTAGGGTACCAGCTGCAGGTCAGACCCTGAGTGCTCAGAATCCCTAAGTCACCCCGACTATCTTCGGGGTCATTATGCAGCCGAGACTCTGGACGACCTCCATGTGAGGCGGCGGCGGCACCGGGTGCCTACGGGTTGGCTGGCAAGGATGCAGCCTGCACCTGCTAGCATCCGGAGCGGCCACCGCTGCCGCAGCCGCAAGCACAGAGCGACCCGAGGACGGGGCGCCAGCGGCTGGTAAATCTTTCCCTATAGGGCGTCAGTGGAGAAGACAACCGAAAAAGAGGACTTGCCAAAGACTTGGTTTAGTTCTCTAACTCGGCTGTTTCGAGAAAAATTGTTTCTGAAAATGCCTTGTGCATGTAATCGGAATAACTGGAGGAGATGGATCAGACCTCTGCTCGTATTTCTTTATGCATCGGCTCTTCTTGTTTCGGTACCGGTCTGTATTTGGGAATTCCAAAAGATGAAGGTAAGAGGGTCCTGCACCTTTACTCTTTCTTACGCTGCTTGACAGAGTTCCTTTGTCTGCCTTCTAATGCTTGATGTCTGAAAAACATTTCGTCTTTGGTCATTGAACCAACCTGTCTGGTTTTATTTAGCCGCTACAACTGGTGGTAGGTCCTTGTGGAGGAAAAAAATAGTCAATGCACCTGCTCATAATGGGTTGCTTTCCCAATGTCCATTAGTTTCCAGAAAGAACTTTATTCTTGAAATCAGATCTGCTGTGCAGACACTGGGCTTGACCAGACTAAATAAACTACCTTGAAACTACGTTCTGGATTTTATAAGCTTTTAGCCGGCTTCCTGGAACCAAAGGATTCTTGTTAAATTGACTTTGCTAATTAACTTTACGTTGAAGTTACAAGTTTTGTTTTGTTTTGTTTTTTGGTTTTTCGAGACGGGGATTCTCTGTGTAGCCCTGGCTGTCTTGGAACTCACTCGGTAGACCAGGCTGGCCTCGAACTCAGAAATCCGCCTGCCTCTGCCTCCCAAGTGCTGGGATTAAAGGCGTGCACCACCACCACCCGGCGAAGTTACAAGTTTTGTTTCTTTCTTTAGTGAGAGAAAGTCTCATGTAGATCAGGCTGTTCTGGATTTTGCTCTGTAGCCTAGGATGTTCCTTCTCCGTCCATCTTCCTAGTGCTCAGATTACAGGTGTATCCATCATTCTGCATATTCAGTGCAGGGATTGAACCCAGGGCTTTGTACATTTGAGGCAAGCATTCTACCAACCGAACTTCATCCCAGACCTGAAGTTACTCCTTAATCAAAGCAAAAATTTTCCAAACGTCCCCTGTACATTCCAGAGTAGTATTTGTTGGTGTGTTCCTAGGATGATCCAGTTGTGGAGGTCTGAAGGTGGGCAGCTTGGGAGAGTTGGTTCTCCCCTCCCATCATAATGAGTGCTGAAGATTGAGGTGAGGTCATCAGTGTTGGAGACAAGCACCTTACCTGCTGAGACATCTCTCTGGCCCACCTTGTTAATGTCATGTTGGGACATTAGTAAGGTGTGTAAGCTGGATACCTAACCTATAGCTATATCTAGAAAGTGAAAACTTAGAATGACCAATTAATAATAACCAAAAAGTACTTTTATAGAGAATCAGTTATTTTGGAAGAGTTATGGCAGGCAGACCAGGTAGATGCACCCTCCCCCGGCCCCGGTTATTTTAATCAGTGTGTCTAAACATATTTGAAGGATCTTTTTTTTTTTCACTAAACTTTTGTTGAATTTTCTAATTATAGTCCATATAGATATTTAAGAGTATTATAATATGCCATTAAATATTTCTCATTTGTTATGTTTTTAGGCTATTTGAGATTTGTCCACCCATATTTAGGTCTAGCAATCTTAATTTAAATGTAATTTCCTCACTTAGTATTCCTTGGAATCCAGTAGAGAAAGGTAAATGAAGTGTATATCATTTCTGTCTCTTAGTTGTAAGCATCAACAGTAGTCTTACAGTACCACTAACCTTTAAGGCCATTTCTAATCTGCAATGGGAACTGTTGACAGCCCAGGCCCCTCACTTCCTGATACAGATGTTTAATGGAGGACATGCAGGTAAGCATGTCAGATGATGCACTTAGACATGCAAACGTAGAACTCAGAACGGCTTAAACTCCAGATGGATGGGAATCCTGTGTAATCTCTCTGTCTGCCATAAGAAATGCCCTAAGAACCTGGGCTCTGGTGACGGCTCAGCAGGTAGAACAGTAGCCTCGAAAGCATGACCGCCTGATCCATGTCTGTAACCAGGTGTTCATGGCAAGATGGAAGAGACAGCTGCCTGCAAGCTTGCCAGCCAGCTAGCCAAAACAAGAGACCCTGCCTCAAGGTGGAAGGAGAGAGCTGACTCCCCAGTGTTGTCCCCTGACCTCCGCACTGCATACCAGCACTCACACACATAAGAGCACACATTTAATACATACATACATACATACATACGTATGTATGTGTGTGTAACATAAACAGTGCCTCAACAGGAATTTACGTTTTTATAGTCAGAAAACTATTTTGGAGTCAAATACCATGGGACTGAGTGGGGTTTCAGTTTGAGGAAGGTCTTCAGGTTGCAGACAGCCATGCTTCTGCTGAATCCTCACATGGCTGAAACATCTCTTTTTGAGATCATCCCCCCTGACACTATGACCTCATTTCAGCTACATCCCTTCCTGCCAGCCTTATCTCCAAGGATGGCCACTTATATTAGGGGTTAAGTTTCAGTAGGTGAATGAGGAGAGCCCAGCCTAGTCACTAGTGTTCAGACTTTACACAGTGTCCACAGGTAAAAGAACACTTGAGATTAAGGACAGACAGAAGGAACAGCAAGGACCTGGCACCAATATTTATAGGAATTTACAGGAAGGGTCAATGAAGTGAACACCAGATGGGGAGGGTTTGAAGGGGAACATTTGAAGTGTCCACATTTGCCACCCTGTCTGTCATTTCTCACAAGTAGGAAGACCATTGGGGAGTTTAGTGATTTTGCTGCAGTTGGAAGGGCCTAAGACAGAACAGAACTGTTTAAGTGTGAGGTAGAATGTGTGGTAGAGCCGGGGAGTTGTGGCGTACGCCTTTAATCCCAGCACTTGGGAGGCAGAGACAGGCGGATTTCTGAGTTCCAGGACAGCCTGGTCTACAGAGTGAGTTCCAGGACAGCCAGGGCTACACAGAGAAACCCTGTCTCAAAAAACCAAAAAAAAGAGAATAATCATATCTTCTTTGATTATCCTCGTGTGTGTGTGTGTGTGTGTGTGTGTGTGTGTGTGTGTGTGTAGGACTCCTCTGTGAGACAGGGTCTCAGTGTGCAGCTCTGGCTGTCCCAGAGCTCACAGGGTTCCATCTGCCTCTGCCTCCAAGGAACCTAGTGCCCACGTCTGACTTCAGAAGCCCACACTCACTTTGCATATATACATATAATTGTTTAAAAAGTAAATCTTTTTTTTTTTAAATTGTTACCAATTATTTGGGAAATAACGAAACAGTATTACTAATCAAATGAAAATTTAAGAAAAACAAATATTGATCTTTATAATTTTAATATCAAAATGGAAACAAATGTGGGTTTGCCTTTTTGTTTTGTTTTTTAAGGTCGGAATACACACAAAAGCATGGTTTATTGCGGGGATATTTCTGCTGCTGACCATCCCCGTGTCTCTGTGGGGAATCCTGCAGCACCTGGTGCATTACACTCAACCTGAACTTCAAAAACCGATAATAAGGTTGGATCGTAATATATTTGTTATTACTAGTATTGACTGACTTAATTCTTAAGCAAACATTACATTTTTTTTATGTTTTACTTTCCATAGGATCCTTTGGATGGTCCCAATATACAGCTTGGATAGTGTATGTATATTTTATTATATTTCATTAAGAATTTTATGACATTTAACTGTGCCTTCTAGAGAATGTTTAATAAGGTAATTAGCACACAATATTGGCAAGGAGAGATTAACAGTGAATTTTTTTTCACTATTTTATTTCACTTTTTTGTTTTTGTTTTATTTTGTGTTTTCAAAACAAGGTTCTGTGTAGCCTTGGCTGTCCTGGAACTTACTCTGTAAACCAGGCTGGCTTTGAGATCCAGCTACCTCTACCTCCTCTGAGTGCTGGGATTAAAGACGTACACCACTAAAACCTGGCTATTTCATATTTTTTTGAGGCAGGGCCTCACTATGTAGTTCTGGCTATCCTGGAACTCACTATATAGACCAGGTTAACCCAGAACTCACAGAGAGCCTCCTCCCTCTGTCTCCTCTAAGTGCTGGGATTAAATGTGTTCGCCAACTGGCCAAGTTTACTGTATTTTAATGTTAGTAAGAAAGGTAAAATATGATTGTGAAGAAAAATGCAAATACCTTAAGTATTTTTTAGTGTATAGCTGTTTTCATTCCTCAGTTGCTTACATTTTCAGATTAGTGGCTCTTAATCATTTAAAGAATGTAGTATTGTAAATTACCTTCAGCCCTAGGTAG